GAGTAAATATTAGCAACATTGTGTGATCATAGAATTGTCAATATCATATTAATTATATAAAGCATTTTCTTATATTTGGCATGAAATTTGCATAATCAGAAAAATATGCTGTTTTCAAAGCACAATAATTAAAAACCCATTCATAATAAGGCTTGTGATATGGATATGGATAACAGGGGGAGTATTTGTAGAAGAGGAGTCAGAATGGCAAAATGTAAAGTCGGTCTTACAATTTCAAAATAAATCAGTAAATTACTAACTCTCTTCAAGAATTCAGTAAGCAATAGGTATCCAACAACATGTTCTAACCGTTTCTAGCTTCTTGAGCCTAATATTCTTATCCAAAGCTTTTTATGGCTTCCCTGATAGCTCAGTGGGTAAAGAATCCGCCTGCAATGCTGGAGACCCCAGTTCGATTCCTGGGTGGCCCTGGAGAAGGAATAGACTACCCACTCCAGCATTCTTGGGCTTCCCCTGTGGTTCAGCAGGTAAAGAATTTGCCTGCAATTGGGAGACCTAGGTTCGATTCCTGGGTGGGGAAGATCCCCTGGAGAAGGGAAAGGCTACCCATTCCAGTATTCTGGCCTGGAGAATTCCATGGACTACATCCATGGCGTAGCAAAGAGTTGGACACGACTGAGTGACTTTCACTTTCTTTCACATGCTTTTTATGACTGGAACATCAGTTTCCACCTGCCGACAAACAATATAACATTTGTCATATTTGAAGGTTGCACCAAAGAAAGGGGGCTGCCCCAGTCACAGGTTTGAGTACAGACAGAAGATGCCTGGGAAGCACTGTGTCCTTGCTGCACATAAGTAGACAGCTGAGTCTCCAGCTTCAGTGGTTTCGATGTGCAGGGAGAGATGTTTGGCCGTCGTATTCAATAAAACAGTCAGTCTCTGGTCTTCCTCTTTGCCCTTATTTGAACGAATAGCTATAAGGAGCTGGGGACCTTTCCCAGGTTCCTGCTTATACCAAGGGAAATACACTGAGTTACCATCTGTATAAGTGCAGGTGATAACAGAGCTGTTTCCCTCCTGGACACTCAGGGTAGAAGGACTCTGCTCCACCTCATTTCCCAGGCTGACACCTATGGAGAAAGCAGAAGTCAGAGAAAGGAGAAGGACTGCTAGATTATTAAGCTCTAGAGTTTACTTTTCGTTTTCTACAATAACTAGAAACCTGAATAAAGTCAGTCTCTGTGTCTAATGAATATCTACCAATACACTATATTTCCCTTAAACCCTCAACTCACAGTCTAGCTGCAGCCACAAGAATGTAATTAAAGCTCCAATGGGTGTCTTCATTGTTTTTCCCATTTAGGATCAATTGTGGATCTGCAGTCTCAGCCAGGAGAGCTGCTTCTGTTACCAAATGATCCTTTCTTTTCTCTAGTGGTTTCTTTCATTGTCTACCCAGCCAATAAGAAAAAGGCTCTGCTTCGGCCCCAAGCCTACATATCCATTCAGAATCCACTCAAAGGAACCCTCCACAGGTTCTGATCAGCAGAGGTGCACCACCATCTGGTGGTTACATCTCCAACTACTGAACTCTCTGGTTAAATGTCCTTCTCATACCTGTGCCTATGAGGGACTCTGATGCATAAAAACAGCAAAGACCAAGCAAGTTATGTTTTAGATTGAAATTTTAAATGCTCAGTAAGAATGTATAGATCAAAATTTACACCTCTGCACACAACTGAGTCATTTTTAGTAAGTTAGAAGGAGGTAGATGCTGTTGCTTTTTATCCAATGATGGGCCTGATATTAGTTTTGAAATTAGAAAAGCACCAAAATTCACTCTTAGACATAAAAATACAAAACTTTCCTTTTCAGCCTGTACACCATGCTCTTATGTTTATTATGGGGAGAAAAATCTTTCTAAAAGGAACATGTAAACCAAAGAAGAGTATAAGAGAAAAAAGATCATTTGATATTTCAAATGCCTATTATCTTAGATTGTGTTCCTCTAAGCTGGTCTTGCCTGTTAACTGTGACTACAGTTAACAATACTGTACTTTTCATTTGAGAGTGGCTAGGAGTGCAGACCTTAAATATACTCACCATAATAACAACAAGACAAAAACCCTGGTAATTATGTGCAGTGAAAGATGTGTTCACTAACCTTGTCAGTGTTATCACTTCAAAATATATACATATATCAAATCATTATATTAGACACCTTAAACTCACACATATCTTAAAAGCAGTGAATGACTCAGAACCTTAGTAGGATGAGTATGAGTCAGTTCTACTGGCATGCTTCTGCTGCCTTGGCCAACACTGGCTCTGAGTCTATATTCTATTATTTTTCTTCCAAACTCCACTAAAATGTTCTTTCCCCAAGACACTGACATTGACATTTCCCCAATAAAATGTTCTTCCCCCAAGACACTTCCCCTTAACTTCTGTGAGTTTCCAGAATTATCTTCCTCTGCCAAAACCACTTTAATTACTTGGAATTTTCTGGTTACCTCTGTGAGAATAAATCTAAGAAAGCCTCAATATTGCCTGTGTCTTCTAGAGAAATAGTGCAAATAGAAGATTGACCCTAAAGAACCTGTTGTAAGAAACAGTCCCTGGGCAACCAAGACTACTTCATTTCCAGAGGTAGAAGCCCCTATCCTGTGATTTGGATTCTCTGGTCCTGTGGATTACAAAGAATAAATTTAACCTCTGTTCCATATCTCATATTTTTAAAAATTTACACAACTATGGTGAAGAATATCTACTCAATATATAAATATGTATATTTATTAAAATGTGCTGGTTTTATGTGTGTTAAACTTCTTGCATTGCAGGCAGATTATTTACCATCTGAGCCACCAGGGAAGCCCAAGTAATACACAAAGTTTGGAACAATTTTTTATGTGATGTTCTTAATTCATCAAAGACTAACTTCCACTTTTCTTCTGGATTTAGAAAGCAATTATTGCTTGTCATAAATTCCCTGGTGGCTCAAATAGTAAAGAATCTGCCTGCAATGCAGTAGACCCAGGTTTGATCCCTGGGTCAGGAAGATCCCCTGGAGAAGGGAGTGGCAACCCACTCCAGTATTCTTGCCTGGAAGAATCCCATGGACAGAGGAGCCTGGCAGGCTACAGTCCATGGGGTCATAAAGAGTCAGACATGACTGAGCAACTAACACTACTATAAAGAATTGTGGAGAGCATTGGTGTTCTTTACTTACGAGTAATCTCACTCAGGTCTCCTATTTTAGCACCCACCACAAACCTTCAACCCATACATACACAGGCACTCGCGAGAACAACACCATCTTTCTCAACTATTCAAAGGTAACTGGTCCTTCTCTTTTAAACTCTTCCACAGAACACATTGTAACACCTCTCACACTGAACCTAGGTTTCTTCTTCATCTAGTCTGTAACACAGGCTTTAATTCTTCCTTACACTTCTCACCTTCTGACATTTTGTTGACATCACTATGTGCTGTGATCTCCTTATCTATTCTTTTTGTGTTTGCAGGTTTATACCCTTTCTGATTTCTTTACTGTCTTGGAGATAAATGTGTATTGTTAATCTACTATGTTTATACAAATTTCAGAAAAAACATTTTATTGCACAACATTTTGTATTGTTTAAAGTATACTTTGACATGCATTTTATTTATAGAACTTTAAAAATAAAATTTGCATTTAAACCAATCTAATAAAAGACTAACTAGATTTAAACCAACAATGAATAACTAATATATACTAGATTTAAACCAACAGTTCATAACAAAAATGTATTAATGTTATGACTATAGCTCATTCACAAAACCTACAAATAGAGCCTTTGAAAAAAGTAGAAGAAAATATTTTCGTGAAGGTGGAAGGATGAAGCAAAGAAAACTATTTTAGAAGCAGCAGGCATTTCAAGGGCAATAATATTTTGAGTCATTCTTATCATAATAGCCGCTGCAGAACCAGAAAACATATGTTGTTCATGTCTGTGCTTGAAACTTTCTCCCAAGCAGCGAAAGTACTCCTAGTGTGCCAATAAACTGATGTTAATTAAATAGGATTGCACCAATATTTGCAAAGACCAGGAGTATATTTGCAGGGCAATACAGAGATTGATTACTCTATTATTCTTTTCAATACACCATATTCTCTCACTTCCTTATCTCTCACAATTTCATGTTTATTACAAAATACTCGATATTTTGCAATAATCTATAAGGGAAAATCTGGAAAAGAATCCATACGCTATGTGTATCACATACTATACTCATGTGCATAACAGTTACTTTGCTGTACACCTGACACTAACACAACACTGTGTATCAACTATACTTCAATCTAAAAATAAGGTTTTTTAAAAGTCATGTTTTTTGGAGGCTGTAGCTCTCCTATTCTCCTGAATGCTCTGTCACGAAGACACTATGGAAATGACACCTTCTCTGGTGCACTCTGGCTCTCTAAAAGTATATTGTATACTAAAAGTATGATAAAACTCAGTAAAGCAAAACCCATCAAGTTGGCCTGGAACAACCTGCGGGGCATGGATTTGACTGCAAGGATGAGCAAGGGACTATTGCATTGTTTATGTGGCTTAACCTTGAAGTTACTTTGGTCTTTGATAAGGAACCATTGGTGTCAGACAGTTTTTAGCTTCACTAATAAGAGGTTGGGTAAAGGGAACGTTTCCCAGTGATGCAGTGGTAAAGAATCTGCCTGCAATGCAGCAGACCCAGGTTTGATCCCTGCATCGAGAAGATCCCCTGGAGGAGGGTATGGCAACCCACTCCAGTATTCTTGCCTGAAGAACTCCATGGACAGAGGAGCCTAGCGGGCTACAGTCCATGGGGTCCCAAAGAGTTGGACATGACTGAAATGACTCAGCATTCACACAAGGGGAGTGTTTACTTCTTGTTCTTATGCTCTAGATGTTGGTATGATGTTTGTATCAACCAGAGACTGGTGACAAACCACCATAAACTCTGCTGGGACCAGAGGGGGTCAGAGACACTCAGTATCCAGGCCCCGCTGCTGCTCAGAGTTTGTGCTCAGCTCCCCCTGCAGTTTCCTTCACTGTGTCCCTCAGAGCACAGTAGTACGCAGGGGAGTTTGACTCTTGGACTGAGGCTTTCTCCAAGTGGAAGGAGGTGGTTTTTGTATTGTATGTGGCTTCAAAACCTTTGTGGCTTCCCTTCTCGTTGGCCTTCGTGGCTTTCAGGAGGAGATGTGGACCTTCTCCAGGATATTGGACATACCAGAAAAGAGTAGTGTACCCGGACGTTGAATAAGTGCAGTTTATAGTCACAGAAGTCCTTTCTGAAAGAGTCACTTGGCCATCCATCTGGGTCACTGAGTTTCCATGGGTTTGTCCTGGGCAAATTATAAATAAAAATTTTGTGTCACCTTGGGCATTTTTTTTCTGGGATAAAATTATGATTAGAGATTTTGCTGACATAATAGAAGGAAGAATTCGTGTTTTAAGAGGCATTTTACTTACCAAGCATTAGGAGTATCACAGTCACTAAACTTGGAGAAGAGCTCATCTCTGGACTGTCACCCGAATAAAGAGGTGACACCTGACACTTCTTTTAAGAGGAAGAAAGGTTGAAATCACAGTGAAGTGACAAGTCAAAGCCTGTATTTCACACAGGAAGTGTGTTGGTGTCAGGAAGCTACACCCCCTTGTGGACAGAGAGAGGAATGGGATGCTTGTGACCTAGTCTCTGGAACATGTTCCCATCCCTAGCTTTATTTTTGAGACACATACCAGTCTTCAGATGGCACTTGGAAATCTGAACAAGTGGTTCTAACCTCTTAGGGCTATTTTGTTGTTAGGTCTCTACCTGACAGAAGTCCTTTAACAGAACATCCCTAGGGTATGTCTGTAACTGAAAAGATACCAATTTCCTTGAGCATGTTAAAACAGTCCTTTACATCCTCATGTATTCAGTGTGAGCTAGCCATAATTCATCAAATACCAGAAAAGTGTTTGGTGTTGAACTTAGAAGAAGTAATAAGAAATCAAGTCATTACTGAGTGATTCTTTTTTTCAACACTGTACCATAATACGTAGAGCAGTAAACTGAGATTATTACATCACAAAATATCTGTCCAATTAAACAAAAATGATAAACAAACAATCTTTGAGGAATCACTATTTTTTGAAATGCACTGTTTCCTTGGTAGGTTGGTTTAATCGCTAAGTCTTGTCCAACCCTTGCAACCCCATGGACTGTAGCCTGCAAGGCTCCTCTGCCCATGGGACTCTCCAGGCAAGAATACTGGAGTGGTTTGCCATTTCCTTCTCCAGGGGATCTTCCTGACCCAGGAATCAAACCTGTATCTCCTGCTCTATAGGCTGATTCTTTACCAACTGATCTATGAGGGACCAGTCCTAAATTATATCAATTGTAAGGAATTCTATCTTTTAATAAAAGTTTTTAAAGAGGAAAAGTCACACGTCTTACTAATAGTCATATATTCCTGAATACAAAAATCATTTGAAAATGAAAATATGAATCCTAGTCAGAAAGAAACATCATAATTTAATTTATGAAATTCTTTTGATGTTCTGATATGAATATCTTATTCTCTCACAGTTTCAAGCTGGCTAAGTATTAGTCATTTAGTCGTATCTGATTCTTTGTGACCCCATTGACTGTAGCCCGCCATACTCCTCTGTCCATGGAATTCTCCAGGCAAGAATACTAGAGTGGGTTTTCATTCCCTTCTGCAGGGGAACTTCCCAACCTGGGGATCGAACCTGTGTCTCCCTCCATGCAGGCAGATTCTTTACTGTGTGACCAACAAATACTAATCTTATTAAATCCTACTAATAATTCACTCAGTAGATATCTAATCTCAAGTATACTTTTTATTACTTAATGTAATAAGTAATAAGCAAAATGTTATACCAACATTTTGATGCCAAACTTTAACCAAATAATTTTCCTCCACCATGTCTGGAACCCTAAAGATGTGGAATTTCTGTCAAAAGCCTGGAGCTTGAGTTAGGACTGTTCTTTCCCAGCTTTTCAAATCATTAAAGATTTACAAATTGATATTTATACAGCCGCTGATGATAGAATCAATATGTGCATGATTTAAAATTACAGATTCCAAATGCACCACAAATTTCATGAATAATTTTTTCCAGAATTGAGACTTGTGAATTTGTAATTTTGAAAGCTCCCTAAGAGGTTTTGTTGAAAACAGTTCAACAAAATTTCATTTGTGATCATTGTGTATACAAAGATAGTTGCCAAGGTTCAGGGAGAAAGCTCTGGGCTCAGAATGGAAAAATGTTTCCATGACTATACTGTGCTAAGTCGCTTCAGTTGTGTCAGACTCTTTGTGACCCAATAGACTGTAGCCCACCAGGCTCATCTGTCTATGGGATCCTCCAGGCAAGAATATTGCAAGGCATTGCCATATCCTCCTCCAGATGATCTTCCTGATCCAGGGATTGAACACATGTCTCTTTTGTCTACTGCACTGGCAGGTTGGTTCTTTACCACTAGCGCCACCTGGGAAGCCCATGACTCTACAAGTTGTGTTAAATGATCCTTCTCTGTGAATTACCAGCAGCAAAAAAAGTCTTCTTTAGCTCACTTTTTTTAATGTTCATTTTATTTTAAACAAATTAAAAGAAACCAAAAATCCTGAGGGCTATCAGGATAAAGTTCTGGAGAAGGAAACAGGCAGTAAAGCCCCTGTAATCATTAGTCCCTAGACATATAGATGGAGTTTAGCTCAGTTTCTTTCAGAGAGTTGACTCTCCACAGTTTCAGATCAGGGAGTTCCATGAGTCCAAAGTCAACGTGTGACTGGTTTCCCAGATTCCGATTAAGTAGGAAAAGCAGACTCAGATACTGGTTGGCCTCACATATTTCTTCCTTTCTCCTTTGCCTTCCAAATCGCATTGTCAGAACCTGCCTCAAAATTATGCTGGAAAGGAATTCAGGAAAAACAGCTAGAAACTTTTATTCTGCTATAAAGGGGGAAAACAATACAGGTTTGATGACGCTGAGTTGAAAAAATAAGTATAGAATGAACGGATGCCGAAAGTTTTTACTCACACTTTAAAATATATATATATATTAAGGCCAGTAAGAATGTAGAGGACAAATATTTGCATTTGAGTCACGGGGCTGCCGTCTATGGGTTCTCACAGAGTCGGACATGACTGAAGCGACTTAGCAGCACCAGCAGCAGCAGAAGTCTTGTACAACAATGAAGAAAGATATTTCTTAAACTTGGATTTTAATGCTATTATTAAAGCATAATTTTCATAAAAATATACTGCACTTATTTAAAGTAAGCTTTCATAAGATTAGACAAATATGTATGTACATATATATGCATAATTGTGAAACCATCATCACAATCAAGATAATGAACTGTGCATCACCACCAAAAGTTTCCTCACATCTCTTTGTGGTCCTCTCAACCCTCTCCCCACCTCCTACTCCCATTTTCATGCAAAACTTGTTATTAATTAGTTTACATATTTTATAACATGATATAAATGGGATAATATATACTTTTTGTTTAGCTTCCTTCATTCAGCATAATTATTTTAAGATTCTTTTATGGTTATAAGTATCAATGGCTTATTCTTCTGTGTTGCTGAATAGTATTTCATTATATGGATCCAAAACAATTTTCCTATCTATTCACCTATTGATGTACATTTAGGTTAGTCCCAGTTTAGGGCTGTTACACATAAAGTTGCTATGAATATGTGTGAATAAATTTTTTTTATAGACATGCTTTCATTTCTCTTGGGTAAACACCTGGGGTGAAATAGCTTGATCATATGGGAGGTGTATATTTGACTTTAACTTTCTTATTTTTTCTGGTAGATTTCTTTCATAGATCCCAGTGGATTTTATACTCAGACAATTATACTATCTGTGAGTAAAGATAGGTTCACTTTTCCTTTCAAAACTCTTTGTCTTTTGTTTCTTCCTCTTGCCTTATTGCACTGACTAGAACCCCTGGTACAATATTAAATACAAGTGGTAAAAGCCAAAATCCTTCCCTTTTTCTTGCCTTTATTCATGAAGCCTGGTCCTTCCTATACAACTACTTTATTTAAACCATGGTTTGACCTCTACAGAATCATCATAGTTGTGAGACTTCCAGAAGATTATGACAGGTTTATGGACAGAAAGGAGAATAATTTTCAGATGCACTCCAGAAATCTGAAGCATCTATACATCTCATAAATTTGAACCACAGTTATTACCCCAGCACCTTCTAGAGTAAAACTTGGAGCCCCTCACAAAAAAAGACAAACACACAAGCAGTAAGTGGAAGCCAAGATTTCAATATAAATATTGTTGAGAAAAACTCATCATTTTTTTCTTATACACCACAGAAATAACCTAAATGCAACAAGGAGATTAAAGAAAAGGAATAAATGCTATATTTATAATGTCAATCAAATTAGAGAGGAATCCAAGTATTTGTAAGAGCTACCAAATTCAGATAAACTTGCACAAATTCATATGTTCTGAACAGCCATAGTGAATGAATCGTCTAAAGGAAATCTTTCCAGATAGAATCCATCTGTTAATACACTTGCAAATATTAAAATAATCCCTTTCAAAATGTCAGATTATGGTTTTATTATTGATTTTATTATTTTCCCTTGATCAGCCAATTTCTGCTTTAATTCCTTCACTTTGACTTCTTTCATTTTGTCTTATTGTTCATACTAACTTCTTGAGTTAAATACTATAGTTATTTACTCTAAATAATATTTTTATACTTGGAAGAAAATTTAAAATAAATATAAAAAAGAAAGTTAAATTAATTATGTATAGAGACATGAACATGTAGGAATATAGAGAGGGAAATTTGTTTGAAGATAAGGTAAAAGCTAAAATATAAAGAAAAATATTAAAAGTCCTTTACAAACAGAGAAAGATTGCATAGTAGTCACCTTAGAAAATAAATATGAGTACCATGGACTCACACCAAACAGACCTAAATCAAACTAATTCAGAAACAGTATAAAACAGCATGGTCTATAAAAAGAGATATCATTCTGAGACAACTTTCATAATTGAAAACCATGCCTATAACTTAATTGAAGGAAACCAGAATATGTCAACCCAAATCATGCCTCTTTGAGGATCATAAGGGACTACTATCAGCAACTATATGCAAATAAAATGGACAATTTGGAAGAAATTGACAAATTCTTAGAAAAGTACGACTTTCCAAAATTGAACCAGGAAGAAATAGAAAATCTTAACAGACCCATAACAAGCACAGAAATTGAAACTGTACTCAGAAATCTTCCAATAAACAAAAGCCCAGAACCATTCTGTTTCACAGCTGAATTCTACCAAAAATTTAGA